TTACTCAATTCTACAACTCTCTGTTTTTCTGTAAGTATGCGCCCAGTGTCTCTCTGTGTTGTTGTTTTTTTACCTGAAGACTTCCGCCGTTGACAGGTTGCACATTAATTTTTGTTTACCTAGAATCGTTCATTGTTTGTAAGTTATAGCTCAACACAACAGTTAGTATGTTCACCTGGAGGTGCTGCAAAACTGTTTCTCAACCTCCCTCTCTCTCTTGCTTTCCACCTCCTGGAAGGTCCAGGCACCCAAGAACAAGAAGGCGACGACGAGGACGTAGAGAACGATGTACCAGCAGAGTGAGGACACGAGGATCTGCCTCACCGAGTCTGTCATTTTATTCCTTTGTCGCACTGGAGGGGACCTGGTTGTTTAAAAAAATAAAACCTCATCACCATGTTCTAATTGTTTGCTTAAAAGTGTGTAAAAGTATGAAGACTGTTAGTTTATAAACGGGAGGTTGGCGGGTGCTCTGGTGTGGTTTGCTCCTTCTTTCCTATCAAACATCTATCGTCTTTATCTCCCCTCCTTCTTTTTTGAGTTCGTTACTCACTTGTAACACTTCTAGATCTAATTTTCGGCACTAATGTGACCTTGTTGTGTGGTAAGTGCCGTAAAAGACTTGCTAAAACTAAAGCAATTCATAATTAATTAATTTCCACCCTGTAAAAAACATGAACGTCATCGTATTCTTATGCGAGCTTTATCCAAAAAAATCTAAAAGCAAACTTTTCAGTCCCAAATCAGAAAGCATAAAATAGGAAGATCCAATAGAACTTCTAAATAATCAGCTCTGCTTGATCCGCTCGGGGTTAAAGGGGGGGGGGGGGGTCGTCGGGTTGGACAGAGGAGTTTTGTTATAGTTATACAGAAATATCCGTACGTAAAATCTGCCCCCCCCCCCCCCCTTTCTGTTTTGTTTGTTGTTTTGCTCCCTCCCAGCAGCCATGAAATATGTCCAGCTTTAAAAAAAATTAAAAAAATAAAAACAACCTCATACTTATCGTCATGAGCAAGTGTGAGGTGTCGGTAGTCCATCGCTTAAGGTACCTGACTGACTCTTAATCGTAATATCGCGGGATTTAATTTGAAAGCACACGCAACAACTGATCAAGGAAAGAGTAGAAAAACGTACAACTTCTCTTTGCTCGGAGATGTTCCCTGCATTTTTGCGTTCCACGGTTTGTTGTTCCTGCCAAAGCAATTATATTGCAGATTTTATTGCTCTAAAGGGTCCACATTTATTACAAATTTTTATCTTGAACTTATAAATCTAAGCTTTCGCCTTTTGACAGAACGGATCCCGTCAGAACAATTTAGTGGCAGAAAGAAGAACCGGAAACTTTCGTCAAGTTAGAATTTGTGTCTTTTACTCCGAGAAATTTTGGTTCGAGAGTAGATCTATGTCAGCAAAGTGTCGAAGCAGAGTGCAATAGTTCCAGACTTCACGCGTGAAAGTTCCAATAATATTCATGACTGATAAGTAGGCTACTCCCATTGGAAAGCACTGAGAACTAAGAAACGGGAAATACATTAATTTGTCTAGCCCTCGTTGTTGTGTACAGCGGAGGGCTATGTATTGTAGTCATATTTTCAAAATAGTTTAACCCTTACCAGACTTAGGTATTATGTCTTTTCAAAAAGCTGGTTATATATTGTTTTTGATTAGGCAGACCGCGGGTGGCTAGCTATACAGTAGTCAGGAAGAAAGAACGAAGAAAAGATCCTTGTCCTAGGCTTGAAATGCTAGGTAGGCTATATGAGAACCCCCCCCCCCCCCCCCCCCCCCGTTTCCCCCTTTTCCCTTTATACCAATACACACTCCAATCGAAAGTGTTTTGTTTTTCTGTTTTGTTTTTATTTCTTCTTTTTTTTGGGGGGGGGGACTGTTACATCCCTGGTAAATGTCTACTCTTGCACCCTTTTCCCAGCCCATTTGATCTACGAGTGACGTTCAGGGTCTCCATAGTCTGTGGGGCCAACATGACAATGACAATGGCAATGACAATCTTTATTCATCTCGCAGGGAGAAATTTGTCTTGGTCGTTTACAATGGCAGTAGATGTTACAAAGGTTAGGTGCACTCACGCATACGCACAACAAGACAGGACATTAGGCCTAGTAAATACATGTCTCACGAGCTGAAACAACCTGCTCCGTAAAATATTATTATTCTCTCGGTCTCTGTCTGTCAGCTTAACCGTGACAGACATCAAGCAAGAACGGGCTAAAGAACCATCTGATCTTTTGCCGAGGTGTCTGTCTGTCTGTCTCTCTCTCTCTCTCTCTCTCTCTCTCTCTCTCTCTCTCTCTCTCTCTCTCTCTCTCTCTCTCTCTCTCTCTCTCTCCTTTCTACACGAGAGTAACTGTGACGTCATACTAGACAGATCGACAATTTTAGTTGTTTTTTAAGAATTGGGGAAGGGGTGGGTGTGGGGGGGGGGGTGAAATAGACCTTTACCAGATGTCATGTAAAAGCTTAAAAAAGGGTTTATGAAAAAGGGTTAGAGGCTGAAGGAAAGAGGTATAAAAATAGTATAACATCTAAAACTTCTAATTAATAGCAAGGACTAGCAGTCAGTAATAACCTATAGTTAAAGTCTTAGGGATAGAGGCGACACTAGGTGTCATCCTCTTTGGTCCATTTAAGTTGTATCATTTTTGTACAGAAGACTTGAAGCTCTTAGAAACAATACCAGTGTTCTTTTGACCTACACAGAGATGTGAACGGTAGGCCCATCTATAATATAGTCTCATGAACACTGTCTTGTTAGATATATCGGCTGTGAGGAGTCTGAGAACATAAAATTTTGTTTGACAGGCTGGATACTGGTAACTTGTTTTAAATGCTGACATTGTCCATAGTCATGACATATCCACAGTTTCTGTGTCTCTATTCTTTGAATCCACCACTAGCTTACTTAGTGGAATAAATTAATGACAGTATCTGGTTGTGTACCAAATAGCTTCTGGTGTTTTCAACCAGCTCAGTTTAATTGACTCTTTCTATAGGCCTGCATACCACCGCTTTGTGCTGCCTTGTACTCACTCCATTTTTCTGAGTTTGATGTGAATCACTTCGAAATCACAGAATTCCAGTTGCAAAAACGAGTGATAGTACAAAACGAAACTAAAATTCTACTGAACACAGACATTAACTGTGACTGTTTTGGACACCAAATAGAACTTTTTTTTTCAAAAGCCTTGGCAGCAGTTGGTTGTTTTTACTTACATTTAACGCATCTTTCAATGGTGTAAGATTATTTAAGATGTGTGTGTGTGGGGGGGGGGGGGAGGGCTTCGAACTTAACGTCCTTTCCCATAAGACCTAGACAAATGAGTGAAAAGCCTCAAGACCTTCCCAAAACAACCTGAGTTCAAGAACGCTCGGTTGGGAATTCGAACCGTGGACATCCACTCCAAAGTTCAACATGGTGAGTGTCTTTGAAAGCTGTGGCAACCCCCCCCCCCCCCCCCCCAGACAAACCGTAAGAAAAAATAATATCCCAGAAGTCGACAATGAGAGTAAGTACAGTTATTATAGCACTCAGCTCGCCGAATCCCTGCCTTTCTTTACAGCATGTGACCATATCATGCTAATAAATCCTAGAACATAAGAAGTATATGCCAGGCAGGGTGCAGTGAGGCTATAAGAATGCATGGAGCTTTGCCATAACAGTAGATGTGAATACACCAGACCATAAAGAAAATTGTTCCCGAAAAAAGAATTTGAAAATTTGTATCTTTTCTGGAGGCCCAAAAATTACATCTGTCGGCGCCACAGCTGCACCAAGGCGACAAATAATGAGTATTATACCGTAAGAAAAAAACAGCCTCAACGAGGACCTTGACTTTCTCAAAAGCGCCATTTCCTGAGACCAAACACCTTCCTAACTTATGCCTTGATTCTCTTCTCAACTTCATATTATTGATTCGATCCCAGGATTATCCTGACCGCATGTCAAAATTCTTGCGGTTCCGAACAAGACAAATAATGCCCAACTAGTTATGTCTTTCGTGGATACATCAGTCACTCTTCGCTGAAAAACAAACAAAAACCAACGGAAAACAAACTGGCAAACAAATAAAATTCTAATGGGGCTGAAACGTGAAAGGAAAGACGATTTTTGGAAGGTGTCATGGAACGTCAATAAAAGGAAAAAAAGATGAGACGCAAGTAGAATCTAAATGGTTTTTCACGAAATTGTCTCTCAAAGTAAAAGTATTATTTTTGCACAGTCGCACGACCCTGCGTTAAACGGAAAAGCTACTCTTCATTGTCGAGTGAACTTTATCCATACCTCCTTCAGAGATAAATATTAATAACATGTGTCTTGCAACCTGCACATTTCTTCTAGATCTAGTTCAGAACTAAAAGATGCAGTTTTTCAAAGTCCGCCTTACTGGTTTTATTTGATCTTATTGAGCACAAGAACAAGAACAATGATATAAGAAACTACGTGCAGTGATCTTGTTACAACATAAAGACAGCTTCTGGTTACGGTTAAGTGGATAAAAAGACTTCTGCTTTGTCTAATTAGCCTCTCGACTCTAGATTCTAGATCTAGATCTAGAGCATTGTTATAATCTTTCTACGTGCTTTGTTTAGAAGTATTATTTCTAGGTCAGGGTAATTTGTAAATAAAGTTAGGAACAAAGTAATATAGTACTTGTACTCGCTGCTAACTTCCTAACAATGTACACTAGAGAATTATTATTGATGATGAAGAGAAGAAGGGTACGATATTATATCAGTGTGTATTTATGCGAGTGCATATGTGT